CTCTTTCCTGCTTATGCAGGGGGTCGGACTCGATGATCTATTGAGGTCCCTTCCGACCCGAACATCTATGAATCTATAGCGTGTGGTGGACCAAGCTGGGCAGGGGGGTCAGGGGCAGCAGCCGGGGGCAGTCCAGGTGCCCCCACGCCCAGCGAAGCAGACACTTAGAGAATAGAGAAATGGTGCAGGCCATGCGCCAGCCTCCAGTGCTCCCAGGATCCATTCCCCTTTTCTTTGCCTTCTGCAAGGGCTGGGCCCGGCTGTGCTAGGCGCTGCACAGATGCCTGGGAGACTGAGCCTGGAGGCGGCACACCGGGCAGGAGCCGTGCGCACCTCCTGGCCTGGGCAGTTGCAAGAGGAACGTGAAGCAGATGGACCAGAGGGAATGACATCCTTCCTATCTCCCCCAGCACTTAGGAAGAAACCACAAGATCAAGCAAAGCAAGGGGGGAGGAAACATTCCCCCGCAGCTGCAGGCACGTGAGCATGGTCTTGCACACCCATGGAGGCCGTTACGGGTGGCTGTGCATGGTGAGACACCAGTCACACAAGGGTGTGTGAAGTGTCTCGGCACCTTTGCACGAGCCCCCGTCTCTTGGTCCCCAGGGATCAGCCTGGGGGAGCAGCCCCTGCACCCCAGTGCACGGCGCATACATCAGCGGCGAGAGAGCAGGCTGTCACCCCTCTGCCTATCCAGGGCCTGCCATTTCAGGGATAAAGGGGTCGGTGTTCCCGCAGCCCGGGCAGCCCCTGCGCGGGGGAAGGGAGCCCATTGTGGACGGAGAATGGGGCTCTGTGAGCACAGAGCAGCGCTTTCTGGACAGCCTTTGTGTGCAGCTCGCCCTGCGGACGGCTGATGCGACAAGGTTACAATGCACTTTCAGCCCGGAGGCACTCGCTGGGTCTCTGCGCCCCCCAGCACTGGCCCTTTCCTGGAGCTGAACCAAGCTGCTGGGAGCTCTCCGAGGCCGGTGGCCTGGCAGCAGTTTGCAGTGGCAGCTGCACTCCCCACGGGTGAGGCGAGCAGGCCGTTACCAAGCTCTGGAAACCTGCCTGGGTGCATCTTCCGTGCTCCCATGCACAGAGGTGCAGCAGCACGTCGACCACCCCAGCAACCTACCCCCATGCTGCAGCTTCCCAGCAGCATCAGAACTGCTCCAGGCCCATCTGTGACAGGAGCGACTGGAAGCAAACCAGTGACCAGCCCCTACCCCATCTTGTGTGGCCCCGCGCAGGCAGGGACAGCAGCGGTTTATTGCCTGGGTGCAAATGTGCTGCATGTTACTGTAACCCACTCCCCCTTCCCCCCCAAGTCATCCCACAGCTGAGATGCAAACCAGCCGGTCCTTTTCCTGCTCACAGGCTGATGCCAGCCAAGGGCCCTCATTCCCCAGGACCGTTGTCCCCTGCAGCGTGCAGAGCACTGGGCTGCTCTGCTCCAACAGGTGCCAGGAGCAGCCTGCTGCGCTCTGGGGCTCAGGCTGCAGAGGAGAGCTGCCGCCGTTTATGCACCCAAGGATCCACTGCAGATTTGGGGAAGAGCAGCCCAAGGGGAATGCATGCTAGCGGCTTGAGGAGACAGCTAGCCTGCCTGACAAAGACCTCCTGGGACGGGAAAGCAGGAGCTCGGGCCCGGCTGTCAGACGGGCCCGTCTAAGCACAGCCCCAGCTGGATTTCCCAGGCTGTTCTTCACCTCCTGGGAAGATGCAAGGTCACCCCCACCCCAGTGAGAGCTGCCACACTCAGCTCCCGTGGGTCACCCATGCAGTCTGTCTTTTCCATGGGGAAGCAGCAGAGCCCTTGGTCCCAGGCTGCGTCCCTGGTTCGGTGCGGAGGTCCTGTTGGAGTGCCGTGTGTATGCACTGCGCACACGCTCTCCACACGCAAACGCTGCAGGAACGTAAATGAAAGCTGAGGGCAGCCTGAGGCTGTACAAGAGATTGTGAGTAGCCAGTCTGTTGTGAAACTACCGGCACGCACAGAGCAGGCATCCAGAGCGTATTGGGCCTGCCTGCCTCTGCCCTGCACTGGGAGCTCACTGTCAGGTCTCTCCTAAATCCAGTTAGGTCCTTGTTCCACAGGACAGACCCCCGTGACATAGGTGTCTCCTTATTCCTAGAGACACCCACAACCGGCTGTACCAAAATGTTTTAACGGGCCCATTTTTCTAGGTAATCCACCACTATTTACACACGCACCTCTGGGCTTCATGTCATCCTCAGGGGTGATTTTAGCTTTACTTCTAGATCATGAATGAAAAAATGGCATAGCCTCAGACCTCATACCCAGCCCTGCAGAATTCCCCTCTTCATGAGGCGTTCCTATTGCCAGGTGGGTTTGGGGGTCTGTCAGTTAGGATCCATTTGACTTGTGGTTTAGTGGAGAAACAATAGGCAGCATCAGGAGTGACTGCTGTGTCTGCCTCAGGGGCTCTGTAAGGACCTGGAAAATCAAAGAGGAATTGTTCAAAAAGTGGAAACATATGACTGAGAATGACTGTAAAGGAATAGTACGAGCACACAGGGATAAAATCAGGAGGGTGAAGGCACCAAATGATTACAATTAGCAAGAGACATGAAAGGCAACACGAAGAGGTTCTCTAGACATTAGAGGCAAGAGGAAACAAAGGAAAGTATAGCTCCATTACTTAACAGGACAAGAGAATCAATACTGGATGACACTATGGATTCAGTGCCTCCCTTGCTTCAGTTTTCACAAAAAAAATGTTAATTATGACCAGATGTTTAACAATATTCATTTTGCCATGGGGACAAGTGTGCAGGCCACAGGCCATCTCTCTCGTTTGCAGCGTCATTCCTTTCCATTTGAGACCGTACCCGCATGGTTGCTTCCAAGGATGTCATGTGGGAGAGACCCAAACCATGTCACATCAATGTAATGTTCTTCTCCAACAAGGTAACTAACCCCGAGGAGAAGGGGGAAGCTGTAACTGTGATATATCCTAACCCTGGCCAGGCTGTTGGCTCTCTCCCACATGACATCCTTGGAAGCAACCGTGGGGGTATGGTCTGAAGGAAGTCACCATAAGTTGGGTGCAAAACGAGGAGAGAAACCACACTTTAAGAGCATGCCAATGGCCTGCATTGAGCTGGAAGGGCAGTTCAAGTGGGGTCCTGGAGGGGTTGTTGGAGCAAAGAGCTCCCACAACCCCAGGCAGGGAGGGACTGCAAGCACGTATGAGGACAGAGTCAGAATCCAGGAGGACTTTGCAGGCTTAATGCAAAAGGAACGACGCTGCAAACTAGAGAGGTGGCCCGAAATCAGCACAACTACGTGGAGGAGCATAAAGGACCAGGCGGAGGAAGGAGAAATCCAATCCACAAGAGAGATGAGCTGCAAGGCAGCAGAACTGCCAGTGTGGATATGTAGGTTGTAGTGCATCACAAGTTAAATGCGAGTCAACGATGTGATGCTATTGCAAAAAAGGCAAGTCTCGGCCTGGGAGGTATTGACAGGAGTGTCACGTGTAAGACATAGGACCCAATTATTCTGCTGTACTTGACAGTGAAGCAGCCTCAGCACCGCATCCAGCTCCGGGCACCAGACATCAAGCAAGTGTAGGGAAACTGGACAGAATCCAGAGGAGAGCAAGGAGGGCAAGAGGATTAGAAAGCACGAGGCATGATAAAAAGTTGAAGGAATTGGGTTGGTTTAGTCTGGAACAGAGAAGAAGCGATAGGGGACACAATAGGCATCTCGCAGTACGTGAAAGTTGCTACGATCAGTGACAGGGAGAAAGGAAAGAAGAAGGCAGCTTTCTTTGCACCAAAGAATTTTTAAGCTGGCTATTAAGAAAATCTTTCTGACTTGCAGTAACACTGGCGGAGGCTACCAAGAGAAGGGGTGGAGTCGCCTGCATCCCACGCTTTTAAGAACAAATGATACTAACCTCTGTTAGGAATGAGCTAGGTATGCCAGATCCTGTCTCCATGCAGGGGTTGGGCCACATCCTCTCCTGAGCTGCTTTCCAGACGGGCGTGTCTATGATGTGCGTTATCGCGTTAGCTGGTATGTTCTAACAGTGCACGCTAAATCCCTGCCGCAGACACGGCACCCTGGGCTTTGCACGAACTCGATAGTTGAGTTGAACTGGAACGTGCTGGTTGTAACGTTTCATAGTGTCATAATAGCTAGGGTCAGGAGGGACCTGAACAGATCATCTCGCCTGACCCCTGCCATGGCAGGAATGAATGCTGGGGTCACAAGACCCCAGACAGCTGATCGTC